AAAGTGAGAAACAACAGTAAAACCATATTTGCAGCATTTGGAAGGGAATAGAAATGTCACCTAAGAATTCTGAAACCAGCCAAACTAGCATTTAATTTATCTGAAGTACTTCTATCATTCAGAATTTTTATTACAGTTATCAACAAGACCTTCCCTAGAAGACCAAATATGTTCGTTCATTTAAAGAATATTAAGTAGTCCAGGACTTGTATATGGGCCAAAAATTTATTCATAGAAACTAGACAGTGGAAACAATACCCAAATCATGCTGTGAGGCTGCTTTGGTCAAGATTCAGGTGTTGCCCCTAACTACCAGAACCTTCTGACACACCCTTGCCATAAGTAAGATTACATGCGCACTTACTTTCTCACACTGCTCACTTCTGGAGCCTTGCTTGGGTGGCCGTGATTGGCAGAGGCTATGTCACATGATGCATTCATAAACATGAATTCCCCAAATCTATAAGGAGCATTTCCAAAGCACTGGGCAATCAGAAACCATGACCTATTTTTGCCTCAGTATCCCTGCTGCCCAAGAATTAAACAAAAAGGCTTAAAATAAACAATCTGAGCTATAAATGTATAAATAATTGTGGTTAATCTGGTAATGAATCTCAATGTGTGTGCCCAAGTAACTCAAAATGAAAAGATGAAATTTGTAATAATTTTAATCTTAAATTCAGTTACTCCAAACCAATATGGGAAATAATATTTAGAAGGAACAGAAGATGTAAAAGCATGCTAAATTTCTAATCTGTAGGCAGTGTTCAGAGATACTATTTTTAATTTGGAAAAATACAAAATCAGTATTTTAATTTAATAGTAACTCCAATGTTAAAAAGAAATAAAACTTCCCATCCAAATCACTAGCCCAAAAATAACAACTAGGAATACTTGAACAAGATATCAAAGGACAGGAGAAGTGGCAGAAGGCTGGCTGCATTTCACAAAGAAGCATGAAATGACAGTACTACCAAATAATGAGTGGATTAAACATGAAGAGTAAAATAACCACTTTCAGATTGAAGTTAAGTTTTTAGAAAATCCTCCAATTAAATGCCATTAACAAAAACACAAGATGATCCAGAATGGATGAAACTAAAGTACAACCACACTTACACAGGCAAATGCAAAAAGAAAAAAAATGTACAAAAATTGCCCTAGCCAGTTTGGCTCAGTGAATAGAGCATCAGCCCATGGACTGAAAGGTCCTGGGTTCGATTCCAGTAAAGGGCATGTACCTCAGTTACAGGCTCAATTCCTGGCCCTGGTCAGGGGGCGTGCAGGAGGCAGCCAATCAATGTGTCTCTCTCACATCAATGTTTCTGTCTCTCCCCCCTCCCTTCCACTCTGTCTAAAAATAAATGAAAAATTGTCCTCAGGTGAGTACAGAAAGCTGCTATGGCAAATTTATGTCAGACAAAGTATTTTGGATAAAAAACATCAAACAGAATGAAGAGGAAATGAGTATCAGTTATGATGCTCTCTTTAAATGTCAAATATAGCTCCAAATGTATGAAGCAAAATTACAAATACAAAAATTGACAAAAATCACGGAACCAGTGCCTGTATTTGCAGATGGGGCCTCTAAAGAACTAATTAAGGTAAAATGAAATCATAAGAATGAAGGCCTAACACATAGCAGTGTATAGATCATCTATCATAGATCATGTAATAAGATCATGACACCTGTATGATCTTATTAACCAATGTCACCCCAATAAATTAAAAATGAGGGCCTAATCTGACAGGATTTGTGTCCTTAAAAGACATCAGAGCATATTCTTTCTTTTTCTCCCCTCCCCTCCCCCACTCCACAGCAAGAAAATGCTGCCTGGAAGCCAAAAGAAGGAGCATCAGAATGAACCCTACCTCACTGGATTCTTGATCTTGGATTTCCCTGCCTCCAGAACTGTGAAAAATAAATTTCTGTCGATTAAGCCCCCATCCCCCCAAAAAAGTTATTTAACCCCCTAATTTCATTCTAAAAAGGGTGGATCTTAAAGAGAGGTTCTCAGAAGGTCCTTTTCTTTAGAAGAACTTGATGGGTTTGGGATCTGAAAAGCTAAGCCTGAAGTTTAGGTGAAAGGAGGGTCAAAGAAAATCTCATGGGTTGGCTTAAGAGAGGCAAGAATTTCAGGTTCTTGGGGTATTCCAGGAATGGGGGCTGAGGAATAGAGATGGGGGTGCTGGGTGAGAGGGGAAGA